GGCCCCACTTGTTTTCTTTTAAAATGTTAATTTTGCTGCCTTTTGTAATTGACGGGGGCAGGGAGATGGCTCAGTGGAATAAGCACTTCCCTGGTAATCGACAGAGTGTTAGGGCTGGCTTCTTTACTGGAGGCATCTTGGGAGTTGCTGGCTGGCTGGAAGTGGTGAGCAGGGGGAGGTGCTAGAAAAAGGCACAGGAAGTGTCCCTTTTTTTTAAAAGGGGACATTTATTGGAGGGAATGGTGGCTATTTGGTGGTTCAGACTGGGGCTGTGAAGGCAGAGGGCAGAAAACATGGAGGAAATGTGCAGGTCCCTAGAGAAAGAGAAGGGCTATAGGACCCAATTGCCAGGCAAAGACCATGGGGCTTTTTGCAGTAGGGGTCAGTCAGTGAAGCTTTTGAGAGGAAAACAGTTTGCCTAAAACCCCAGAAAGGATAATTTGGAGCCTGGAAGACCCAGCAGTAGAGAACATAGTTCCAGGGTTGAGTTCAACATGGATGGGATCTGAGATAGAGTCTACCTATGAAACTCAGGCTGGCCCTGAACCCAATACGTAGTGCAGGTTGGCTTTACACACCTACCCATGTGTTTCTCCCTCCTCATCCTTTGGAGTGCTGGGATTACTGGTGTGTGCCACTGTGCATGATAGTGGCAAGACTGTGACAAGAACTTGGAACTGTGGTTGTCAGGATTTAGGGCTTTAAACTGGGGGCAGGCAGCTTGATTGCTGTGTTACTTGGCTTGTTGGTTGAGAGGCCACCAGAGAGTTGACATTTAAGGAACATTTCTCACATGCTGGGAAATGCCCTTACTGTTGGCCCTTGACCTGGAACCATCATTCTGGTACAGATCAATGGTGAGTAAGAGTCCTTGTTTCTGTGATGTTGGAAATTAAGACAAGTGAAAGTTCAGCACAGATTTACAGGAAAAAACTTTCATTGGCAAGGAAGAGAAATTTCAGAAAATAAAGTAAGAGCTCACAAGGAAAGGGCTTCCTGGTGAGGGACCAAAAGGCATGGTGTGAAGAGGAGGATCAGAGCAGGCACTGAGCATGCTGGGGGCAGCTATGGGCAGTGTCTTGCCTCAGTCCTGTTAGAATGCTGTGGCTCAGTTGAGTTTCCTTGAGAGGCTTGGCTGGCTTGGCAGCTTGATGTCTTTCTTTCTTTTTTTTTTTTTTTAAATTTTTATTTTAGGGAAGGGTCTACAGGGTGTTCAGGGTTTCACTACTAGATCAGACTCGTAGTGATCCGCCTGTTTACAGCCTCCCAAGAGCTGGGATTATAGGCAGGCACCACCACGCCCAGTCTTAATCACCATCTCAGTGCACCCCGGAGGCCTGAGGATCGAAACCCATCCCCTGCACCTGCTTGCAGGCGCTTTAATCCAGTGAGCTATTTGGCCGGCCTGATCTCTTCTTAGGGTGGCTGTGAAGCTGCTTTTCGTGGACCTTGAGGGGAGGACAATGATGGGAGGCTTCATGGTGTTGCTTCAGGGGCCTCTGGGACTGGAAGTTTGTAAAAGCTTGTCACTGCATGTTTCTTGTAGAGCTAGACTTATCCTCAGGCTTAAAGGGGTGAGAGGGTCTAGGTGAATGTTGAGTAATAAACCTTGTGAAACATGAGTGATTAGTCCAGAAATAAGAGACAGCAAATGATGCCAGAGGTACAGGCTTCACCTCTTAGTTGGGGATCTGCAGTCCCTGACTCTTAGTCCCTGACTTACCTCACAAGAAAACACAAATCATGCAGCTTTACTTTTTTTTTTTTTTTT